GATGTTCCGATGCCAGAATGTTGTAATCAATTTAACAGCAACCCTTGTTGGCAGCCCCAAATGAGAGTATCTTCAAAGTATCTACTTATCAAAGGTGTAACTTGATGCTATGATAATAATTAAGAAAGCTTAGAATGTAATATGACCTTCAGCCACAGGTGGCAGCACTGAGCAGAGTAATCCTGAGCAGCAGTCCAGTGGTTGAACGAGGAAAAAATCTTTGAAGATCTGACACTAGGGGTGTCCAACTCCAGTCCTTGAGAGCTACTGTCCTGCAGCTTTTAGATGCATCCCTACTCCAACATAGCTGAACCAAATGGTTGGATTTACCTCTTCAGCAATACGTTTTGCTTTCCTTTTGCTTTCCTTTAATAGTATTTTCAACATTCTAAAGAAGTGAAAAAAATATTGAAATTGTAGAAAAAATACAACCTTACATCAAATTCGTCAAAAACATAACTCGATGACCCACCATATCTTCATAAAGAATCACTCAGATAACCATACCTGCCACTTTGAGCCTCAGATGTGAAGTCTTGTAAATGTATTTTAGTTTTCTTTGCAATCAATAAGCTTCTACTTATCAGCTACCAGTTTAACAGATGCAGACACATCTTGTGACAGACCAAAACAGAACTTGTGTGATGACTTCTTGTAATGACAACGAGTACACTACAAATTAAAAGAAAAAAACAAAACAAAATAGAAAACAACAAAAAAAAAATGGAAGTGAATGGCTCCATCTCGTCCAGGTCACAGTCCCTGATGTTTCTGCTGGGACTGGCCAGTCTGCTGGGAAGTTTGGCCATTCATTTCAGGTAGGTTGGAACAAGGATTCGTCTAAAAGCTGCAGGACGGTAGCTCTCGAGGAGTGGAGTTGGACACCCCTGATATAAACACAGTTGTCACATCAAGGCTCGTGAGATCAAAACATCAAAAAGGAGCACACAGTGTGGTATTTTATCTAAAAATGGGCTGAGTCTCTCTCTGCAGCCCATTCATAGATTAAAAAAAAAGAACTTTGTGTTTATTTTTGATGTTCTAATGAAGGAAATGCCAAACTATGTGACAAAGCAACACCTTTTTTTTACTGCTACAATGTTACAGTTACAAAAGCATGCAGAGCTGTAACATTTTAATTCAGATTGACTTGTTTTGTGCTGCAGAGAACAGACTCAGCCAAAT